AATGAGTTGATGAGAAGCACAAGTCCACAATCACTTGGGACCCGCAGGCTTAATATTAGTGATAGAGTGGCCCATATGAAGCAATTATCTGGACAGTTGTGCTATAGCTGAAGAAGAGAGGTTGGTTTTGACATGTCTGACTGGCTTGGAAGTAAAACACAAATAGAGAAAACATAGAGTTTTAAAGCTAGAAAGGATCTCTGCAGTAATTTGGTAGATGAAGAGACAGACTTGACCAAAGATAAACAATTTGCCCAGAGCTGGGATGAGGCAGAGCTCAGGAACACCGTGCATTGCTCATGTCATCTTGAAGCTTCATGATGCGTTTGGTCCATGGGCTTTCTCAGGTTCAGCATTAAACGTGGTCTTTATCCCAGTGAACTAGAAGTGAATTAAGAACTGGTATAAAGGAAGGTTCTATTAGGAGCAGAACTGCCCAGGTAAAGGTAGAGGGCCAAGTGAGACCCGTGGGGTTTGGTAACGTGAGGAATTTCATAGAAGAGGCGGAACTGTAATTGGGGAGTAGGAAAGAAGAGACTAGGGATAGTCATTATCTTCATTATTGTTATCAAGTGATTATATGGCATTTCATCTTCAAAACCTTTTGCAGACTTTAATTAAGTGTCAAGTGCAGTCATAATCTAAATTGCACAGATCGTCTGGAAAAGTAGGATGTTGAAGTTTGGTGAAACGTGCAGGAAATGTTTAGAATTCTCTTATTCTGAAACATTGCTGGAATATGCTTTATTCTAAAGCAGTGGTCTCCCTTATATATTAATTAAAAAATAGAAGCCTTGTTATGATGTCTTCCTAACCCAGCTGTTAACTCTCCTTACTTGTGGGTGAGGAAATGGACAAAATATGGGGAATGGAGTTCTTACCTTGAAGAGTGCATGAAAGAAACACTTAGCATTTGTGAGCTTCACTTTTAAATGCAGCATTTGAAAATGAATACATCCCAGTGTAATCGACAGTGGACGCTTTTTTCCCCCTTGAGACTCTCATGCGTACCTGTCCTGTAAGAGCACATTTTGACGTTTTAAAAAATATTATGTTGATACAATGCTTGCACTGTTTTTATTCTTCAAAATGTAAATCTCTATGTCGAAATTAAAATATAGCAGGAGAGGAGCAAAAAAGCAGCATTGGTATATCCCACCCCTAAGGATAAATGACACAAGCCAGAATCATTACAGGGGACATCTTTTACTTAAATGTCTATTTCTTTATTGTCTCATGCACAGAACAGTTCATTCCTGCCTTTTAAGGATTGAGCATTATAATATTCTTGCTTTTAGGGTTAGGATTTTTCCTTTCCACATAGCACCTGTATTTTCTGGAGCAGTTCAGGGATGGAAGAAATGACACTTTCATTCTTGTAATGAGGCACCATTAACCAGAGGCCTTTTGTAAGGGTGTAATTTCAAACTTCATTACAGACTAAGGCAGCTACACAACCCATTACTTGGAGAAAATGTGCTTCTGTTGTGACTCTCCAATGAGCCTTACATTTTTAATGCACCTTGTTAGAATATTTATGAAATAGTATCACCAGTAGAGGGCATCTGTCTTTGAAACCTGTGAATATTAAGCGACAGGGTTTCACGGCCCTCACTTTAGACTTTTCCATTAGAAAAACAGAAGTTAAAGGTACATGCCATAATCTGAAATTCTTTCTGATTCAGTTTACATTACTAGCAAGTTACCAGAACTTTGCTTGGTCATGTCTTAGGAATTTTATTATTTTATCATCAGAGTAAAGTCTGAGTATGAAGGTAACCAGCTGAAATCCACACTGGGAGAGAATGAGCATATACTAATTGTGCTTCCATTTAAATGTCTGTCCTCTGGGAATAGTATGTTTGCCATGCTGGTAGGCTTGACCTCTGAAAAATATTAAAAAATGCTGAGTTCCTGATTTAAAAAATTTAGCATTGTGAAATTTAGTCCTGCCCATGAACAGGACATCAGATTAGCTCAGAATGGAAGCTATGGTCTAAAAGACTCCAGGTTAGAAAGAGATCTGGGTTTTATTTTATTTTATTTTTTTAAAGATTTACTTATTTTTAGAGAGGGTGAGGGCCAGATCGCGAGTGTGGTGGGAGGGGCAGAGGGAAAGAGAGTCTTGAGCAGACTCTGCACGAGTGCAGAGCCTGACGTGGGGCTCGATCTCACAACCCTGAGACCACCACCTGAGCTGAAACCAAGAGTTGGACGCTTGACCAACTGTGCCCCCCAGATGCCCTTGGAGACCTGGGTTTTCTGTGTCTTTCTGGGCAATTTGAGGCGTGGGTTCCTGTGGGAGGAGAGTAACTCCTGCCAGCCTGACCGCTTCCTGTTGGGTGTTTCTTCCTAACTCCGGGTCCCTCAGTCCTGGGAGTGTCCAGGTCTGCTCCCCAACCAGACTGGTGCGTGATGGTGTAGAGTGGCTCAGAGATGGTAGGTTCTGCTTGTGAAAATACATATACGTGTGCGTATGTATTACGCACATGGCATTTTCAAGCGCAAGTGTTTGTTTCAAATGATTAATAATTATGACCTCAAGTAGTATACCTTCTCCTATTTTTCTTTAGATAATTCTAATATTAAGGTCCATAGCAGTGTATATTGAGTTTTAATTTCCTCTGTACATGCTGTGAGAGAGGGAACTATGTTCTTGAATCTGTGAAACATGCCTTCACTGCATCCTGTTAATTTTCACATAGCAGCCTATTCCTTCAATGAGGAAACACAGTTCAAAGGCTTGAGTGTGTTACAGATCATTTTTTTTTACCTAACACGATTTCTCTTTAGAGAGATTTAAATAGTTGCTTCTTCATAAGGTACTGGCCTTTTTAACTTGAATTTGCTTTACATTGTCTTTAATTTATATGTAATGGACGCCTGGGTGGCTCGGTCGTTAAGCGTCTGCCTTCGGCTCAGGTCCTGGCTCCTTGCTTAACGGGGAGCCTGCTTCTCCCTCTGCCTGCCGCTCCCCCTGCTGGTGCTCTCTCTCTCTCTGGCAGATATATAAATAATAAAATCTTTAAAAAAAAAAGTTATATGTAAAATGAATATTTGTTACTCATCTACTGATTTGCATTTATAAGCAAATCTAAATACCCACCCCACAGTCTATACTAAGTGCTGTTAACAGGGCAATCAAAAGGTATCTGTTTAGAGAGAGAAATGTCTCCAGACTTGTCCGTCTGTTCTTTTCATTTTGTTTTGAAGTAGTAATGCTCATGTAGTTACAGTTTTGTGATGATGACCTTGCAGTTCAATGCTACTCTCTCACACCCTGGGAGTGTCAGTGTCTGGAATGAATACTCTGGAGCAGCTTCCTGAAGAACTTATATAAATTAAAAGTAAAATATTCAGGGGTGCCTAGGTGGCTCAGTCGGTTAAGCGTCTGCCTTCGGCTCAGGTCATGATCCTGGGGTCCTGGGATCAAGTCCCACGTCACTTGTGCTCACTTGCGCGCGTGTGCTCTCTCTCTCTCTGTGTCAAGTAAATAAATAAATAAATAAAATCTTTAAAAAAATGTTAAATATTCAAATAACAGGTGTTTGATTTTTTTAAAAGATTTTATTTATTTATTAGAGAGAGAGCAAGAAAGCACAAGCAAGGGGAGTGGCAGAAAGCAGCTGAGCAGGGAGCCAGACTCGGGGCTCGATCCCAGGACCCCTGAATCATGACCTGAGCTGAAGGCAGACGCTTAACTGACTGAGCCACCCAGGTGTACCTGGGTGTTTGATTTTTGCAAGGAATACTCAACGCCTTCACAGCATCATTGCAGCACATTCCAGACAGTATTGCTTTAACTAGATACTTCTTCCCCACCTCTCCCCTGCAATACCTTACCCTTGTTATTAGAAAGACTTGATAACAGCAAAAGTCCAGAACTTCTGCAGTGTGGTCCATGGATGGGTATTGTTAGGTTCATACAGTATCTTAACATTCAGCATTGGTTGTCAATACTTAGAAACTGGAAGAGTTCACTTTAAAAGTCCAAATTTGTAGGTTATCTTTAGAAAATGAGAGGATTTAGAAACACTGTCCTGTGATCTCGTATGACAACTGCCTGTGCCCCCCAGCACCCCCACGCTGGATTTCCCTTTTCCTTATTTACATTTCCTGCCGGGCCCCTGCTGGCATTGAGTCCTCACCCGTACTTCCTCTTCCCCATGTCAGCAGCCATCCTCAGAATGCTGTGGGCCTGCTCACCTGCTAATGCATGCCACCACTGTTAGCTTTCTGTACTTCTAGTTTTCTGTCTTAAAAATGGGAATTTGTGAGGGGGGGGTGCCTGGGTGGTGCAGTTAAGCATTCAACTCTTGAATTTGGCTCAGGTCATAATCTCGGGGTTGTGAGATTGGGTTCTGTGCTGAGCGTGGAGCCTGCATAGGATTCTCTCTCTCTCTCCCTCTCCTTCTGCTCCTCCCCCCAGCCCCCTCCCTCTCTCTCTCAAAAAAAGGGGGGGGGATTATATCTGGCACTTATTGTCCATGAAAACTTTGACAATTAGTGTGAATTTTTAAGAACATTTCAAGTAAAATTATTTATTGCTACTTTGATTAGTATGTTTTTTAAAAAAGATTTTGTTTCATGATTTAAGATCAGCCCTATAGCAGACACTGCTGTTTCTTGAGTCAAAACTTAAATATGCTTTAAATGAGTTTTTTGTTTGCCATGCCTATTTCTTAGAAGATTTTAAGCCAAAGATAGAAGCCTGAAACTAATATATACTTACATATTTATGTATAAATATTCTAACACACATATATATGTGTGTCTGTACACACTTATCTACTTACGGATATACTAATCCAGTTAATACATTCTTAGCTTTAAGTGATTTTAATAAAATTATTCTTAAATAACTTTAAGTTTCTTAATATAAACTTTACAATAATTTATTTGATAACTTCTTAACTTTTAAAAGCACGTTTAGGATGAACCGAAAAATAGAGCATCACATGTGTGAATGTTAACTTGAGATGAATGGTCTTTCCTTTCAGAATACGGCAGGAGAATGATATGGTTGATTCAGCGCCTCAGTGGGAAGCTGTATTAAGGAGACAAAAGGAAAAAAATCAGGCAGACCCCAACAACAGACGATCCAGACATAGATCTCGCTCGTATGTGGACTCTTTTTATACCTTTATTCAAAAAGCACTGAGCTTGAAGTAGCATGCAGATTCTAGGGCAGATGGAGCTGTCTCTTTGAGGTCTTCTAAAGTGATTTTAGTTCCAACACGATTATCCCATTGTTTGTTTGTCATATTTCCCTTCTTATGTTTGTGACATTCATTAACTCTATCGGAAGCCATAGAAGTTGGAGCATTGCCAAAACAAAATGTTGAAAACAAGGCTATCAAGACTCTGTTTTGTTTTTAAACAAAGCATACATTCAACCAGGTAAGTAGGAACAGTCTTTGTTCTGGAGCCTGGCTGTTGGCAAAAATACCTGCTGCTTCTCTCAATTTGAGTCTGCAGAATTCTCTGAAGTCTTGTTCGAGATTGAACCAGATGTGAATATCTTCCTATTAAATTACCATTTGTGAGCAGTAGGCAGTGAGTGATTCATTACACCCCAATGCTGGGATTTGCCTGTGCCTTCTGTTGCTAGGCAATGCCATGTATGAGCACAATTACCCCATAATGATGAGATTGCCAGTCCCCCAAATTAATTTTCTTTTGAGCTGATAAAATTTCTAGGTTTTTTTTTTTTTTTTTAATGTGTGCATCATTCAGATTTAGATAGCCCCATCTCCACACCCCTTCCCAAAGCATACCTTTTAAGTGTGAGCTGCGACTAACTATGCATCCCTTTGTGATCCTAGGTGGTTAGATGTCTGGTGTTGCTTATTTGTGGAAGGAGGGATTAGTGTTTCAGATAGGGTGGTGGAAGGATGCCACGGAGTGGATACAGAGACAAACTGTAGGTAGGTGGAGGGGGTGGATCCAGGGAGCCAGGCAACAGGGTGTTCTGGTTAACAGAGGCTAGGAGAGAATTCGGAGGATACACCCCAGAACCCCGTGTGGCTCTAAGGGATGCTTTTCAGTCTTGGATGCTTACTTTTTAATTAGAAGTTATCCTAGAGTGTGGTTTTGTTTTTATCGGTGGTACATCATAATGAGTGATGTCTGTTTCTTTCTAATAGAAAATTCTCAAGTAGTGACTATGCTGTGTACCAGACCCTTAAAGATTTATTTGTTGCTCCATAATGTTTTTGTTCTGGAACCTAATTAAAATATACAATTTAAAGCAGAAGTTAATAAATTTTCCTTTGTCTTGACTACTACCTTCCCCCAGCTCCATTATAAAAGAGAGGTTTAGAACTGGAAGAATCAAGACCTTATGGTTGACAGTTTAACCAAAAGGCACAGAATCCCAAGATCAGGATGCAGCATAGTCATGGGTAAATGTTTTGCAACCACGCTTTTACCTTTCCATGTGGAATCTTCTTTCTCAGGGACTTGTAATACACAAGGTTTGGTGACTTGGCATTAAATCTTAAAAACAGCATTTAGGGGCACCTGGGTGGCTCAGTTGGTTAAGCGTCTGCCTTCAGCTCAGGTCATGGTACCAGGGTCCTGGGATCGAGTCCGGTGTGGGGCTCCCTGCTCAGTGCAGAGCCTGCTTCTCCCTCTCCCTCTGCCACTCCTTCTGCTTGTGCTCTCTGGCTCTATCTCTCTGTCAAATAAATCAAATAAAAAAAAAAAAAAAAAAAAAGGTTTAAAAACAGCATTTAGTTTTTCTCATAATTTCTAAATTTCATTCTAAATTCAATTAAATGCCAATAGTAAATTTCATTTATTAAAAAGGGAAAAGTAAAATAAAATTGGGAAAAGTTTTCTATATAAATTTTGAAGAAGTCAAAAAACATTACTGGAGGCAATATTTAAAATTTTTGAGTAATAGTCCATTGTATGATTATACCACAATTTGTTTATCCATTCTCCTCTTGATGGGCATATGGGTTGTTTCCACTTTTTGCTATTGTGTTAAAAGTTTCTATACACATTCTATACAAGTATATCTGTGGAGTATGTTATCTTATGCCCTGGGATCAATACCTGAGTGGAATTGCTGGGTTAGAGGATATTTCTAACCATATTAAATGTAATAATAAACTACCAAAATGATTTCCGAGAAGGCTGTATCATTTTATGCCCCCACTAGAGGTGTATGAGAGTTCTAATTCTGCCCCATTCCTGTAAATACTTAGTTCTGTCTTATTAATTTTAGCTATTCGGTTTGGCTTGAAGTGATATCCCATTATGGTTTTAATTAACATTTCCCTGATGACTAATGATGTTAACCACATTTTTCTGTGCTTTTTGGCTATTCATGTATCTTCCTTTTTAAAGTGTTTAACTTCTTGCCCATTTTTATTGGATTGTTTCTTTTTTATTACTTATATGTAGGGTTCTTTATGTAGTCTGGATATAAGTTCTTTTTCAGATATGTATACGATGTATATTTTCTTCCTAGCTGTGGTTTGCTTTTTCATGTTCTTAACATTGTTTTTTGATAAACAGATATTTTAAATTTTGATGAAGACCAGGATATCATTTTGTTTTCATTTATAGTTAAGACTTTTTTACATCCTAAGGAATATTTGCCTACCCCAAAGTCACAAAGATGTTCTCATACCTTTTTCTAGCAGGTTTATAGATTTTGCTTTTTATTTAGGTCTGTCATCCCTCTAGAATTAATTGTTCAGTATGTATGAGGTAGAGGTAGATATTGAGAAGTTTTTTTCCAGGTGCTTATGCAGTATTCCAGGTCCATGTGTTAAAAAGACTATCTTCATTGAAATGCCTTGCGGCCTCTGTTGAAATTCAGTTAACTGCTTATATGTGGGCCAATTTTATTTCATTGATCTATTTGTCTGTTCGTAAGCCACCATGTTGTCTTGTTTACTGTAGCTTTATAGTAAGACTTGAATCAGGTAGTATAAATTCTCCAATGTTGTTTTTTTTATTTTCAAGATTGCTTTAGCTATTTTAGGTCTTCTGCATTTCTACATGAATTTTTGAATCAGCTTGTTAGATTTTAAACCCCCCCCCCGAAAAAAAGACTTTAGGCTTATGTTGAATCTATAGCTCAATTTGGAGAAAATTCTTAACCATTTATTTAAGCCTCTTAACATCTTTCAGCAATGTTTCTTGGATTGCAGTATGGAGTTATTGCATTTATTTTGTTACATTTAATCCTAAATGTTTAATATTTTTAATGGTACTGAACTATACTTTAAAAATGCTATTTTCCAATTGTTGGTTAGTAGATAGAAACACAAATTATTATTTTTTTTTATTTTATTATGTTATGTTAATCACCATATATTACATCATTAGTTTTTGAAGTAGTGTTCCATGACTCATTGTTTGCGTATAACACCCAGTGCTCCATTCAGTATGTGCCCTCTTTAGTATCCATCACCAGGCTAACCCATCCCCCCACGCCCCTCCCTTCTAGAACCCTCAGTTTGTTTCTCAGAGTCCATAGTCTCTCATGGTTCATCTCCCCCTCTGATTCCCCCCCTTCATTTCTTTCCCTTCCTACTATCATCTTCTTTTTTTTAACATATATTATTATTTCAGAGGTACAGTCTGTGATTCAACAGTCTTACACAATTCACAGCGCTTACCATAGCACATACCCTCCCCAGTGTCTGTCACCCAGCCACTCCATCCCTCCCACCCCCCAGCACTCCAGCAACCCTCAGTTTGTTTCCTGAGATTAAGAATTCCTCATATCAGTGAGATCATATGATACGTGTCTTTCTCTGAACAAATTATTTTTATATTAATATTGTATCTTGCCACTCTGCAACCTTTATGTTAAATTGATTTCATATCTCTGGAAGCTTTTTCAAAAAATTTCTTAGGATTTTTCACATTTACAATCCTATTGTTTGTGACCACAGACCACTTTCCTTTATTTCTAATCTTTTTTCTTTTTATTTCTATTTTTTCCCTTTATACGCTGGCTATATCTTCCAGTACAGTGTTGAATTACAATGTTGAATAGAAGTAGTAAGAACAGAGACCTCCTTAGCTTGTTCTCTTTCTTAGGGGGAAAACATTCAGTATGTCATATTAAGTATGATGCTAGCTGTAAGATTGAGGAAGATCATTCTGTTTCTAGTGTAAGAGTTTTTATCGTGAATGAGTTTGAATTTTGTTATAAGCTTTTTCTGCATCTGAGATGACTTCTTTATTCTGTTAGTGGGAGAATTACAGTGATTCAGTTTTGAATGATACATCCTTGCATTCCTGAGATAAACCCTCAGGGTCCTGATGTATTATCCCTTCTATATATTGCTGGATTCTATTTGATATTATTTTGTTAAGAAATACTGGTCTGTAATTTTCTTGTATCTTTGTCAGGTTTTTGGTAACAGGTTTTTACTGGTCATTTAAAATAATTTGACAAGTGTTCATCTTTTCTCCATTTTCTGAAATAGTTAATGTAAAAAATTAGCATTATTCCTTCCTTAAATATTTGATATAATTCACCAGTAAAACCATCTCTGCCTGGAATTTTCTTTATGGAAAGTTTCAAATTACAATCTCAGTTTCTTGAACAGATATTGATTGATTGGGCCATTCTGATTTTTACTTGTTATGTGTAGGTTTAAGTATTCTTTAAAAAGAATTTGTTCATTTTATCTAAATTATCAAATCTTTTAGCAAAAATTTTTCATAATAATTCTTTAGTATCTTTTTAACATCTGTTGTGATACCACCTCTTTTATTCCTGATGTTGATAATTTGTGTTTTCTCTTTATTTTTCCCTTAATCTATCTTTTCAGAGAACTAACTTGGGTTTGTTGATTTTCTTTGCTGTCTATTTCATTGATTTCCACTCTTTATTACTTCCCAATATTCATTTTGTCTTTTATTTGTTCTTTTTTCATCTTCTTAAGGTCACACTCATAAACCTTTCTCCCTTTTAAATATAAGTATAAAGTTGTAAATTTCCCCCAAGCCCTATAGTTTTAACTGTATCTCACATATTTTGATGTGTTTTTATTATCATGTAGTTCAAAATCATTTTTAATTTCTTGTGATTTCTTTGACCCTAGACTTTTTTTTAGTAGTGTGTTGATTAATTTCCAAATATTAGAGGATTTTCTAGATATCTCATGAGTATTATTGATTTCTAATTTAATTCCATT